GAAATCAAATGTTTTACTGGGAGTTCCCCAGGGCTCAATCTTGGGCCCATTAATTTTTCTATTGTATATAAATGATCTTCCTGAGTGTCTTTCCGATGTCCACATAGTCATGTATGCCGATGACACGTCAATTGCCCTGGCGTCGAATGATGCTGATATGCCTTTTCTAAAGTCAAGCATACCGTTGAGTCATTTGATGCTTGGTGCAAACAAAATCGTATAGTTCTTAATCTAAAGAAGACCGTGTTTGTAAATTTTCATAAGGGAAGAAGGCTTCCGCAGGCCGGTGATATCATTCTATCAAATAGCTGCAAGTTTTTGGGTGTTTCTGAAATTGAAGGGATGCCTGCCGCTATCGGGATTATTAGATGCGTATTATGCTCTCTGTTATTCGCATCTTTCATACAATATATTATTGTGGGGAAGATCGGCGGAGTGGCGGCGTGCCTTTGTAGCGTAGAAGCGCATTATAAGATTAATCTTCGACCTAAACTGGAGAAATTCGTGTAGAGATGCATTCAAGGCCAATTCGCTTCTTACTCTTCAAAGTATATGTATATATAAATCAGTTGTTCATGTGCGGGAGCTTGTCGATAGGTACCCTGTCATGAAACACAATTACGATACTAGATCTGACAGTATGATTTCTCAAAGCTCTATAATAATTTGCCATCTAATGGGACAAATAAAGTCATATTATTATTATTATTATTAATTAAAAAAGTTGATACGCTTAGCTCATTTAAACATAAAGTAAAAATGATGCTTGTAGAGTTATTCTGTCTCTTTCTTTGTTGAATATTGTGTATGTTGTGTATTATATATTGTATGTGGTTTGAACTTGTCACATCTACTATTTGTAGCCAGGTGATTAAATAAATTATTATTATTATCATAATTGAAATGCGTTATCGCAGGTTAACAGAGCTTCGTATAGACAGTTTAAAACCTTGTTAGAACCTTGTGTTAGTAGTCTGATACCGGTAGATTGCTTAGCGAAGTTTAACGAGAACGTGTAAACAGTTTTTAATAATTATTATTCCGTAATTTTAATGGATCGGTGGCAAAAAACGAGTAGTTTAGTTGAGTCCAACAAAATATTGGACAAGCAGTCACTTGTCCAGTCTTCATCGTCAACACCCGATTTCGGAACAACAAAGAGCGATGATACTGAGAGCTGTAGTGAGCTACCATTTCAGCCAGAAAAATGATGAAACTGGTGAAAAGAAAAGAAAAAGGCGAAAATATGACAGCGACTATTTACAAATGGGTTTTTACTTTACTGGGGAAGAATCAGAACCTTAGCCGTTTTGTGGAATTTGCAATGAGGTGCTTGCTAACAGCAGCTTAAAACCATCAATTCTTCGTCGACACCTTGAAACCAAACATTCGACATACAAGGATAAACCTGTCGACTATTTTAGAAGACAATTGGCTGATTATAGAAAAAGTAGTGTATCTTCTTTTCTATCCGCTTCAAGGAAAGATAGTAAAATGGCGCTTGGGGCATCATTTCGAGTAAGCTATAGAATTGCAAAATCTGGACAATCACATACAATTACAGAAAATTTAATTGAACCATGTGCAAAAGATGCAAGAAAAAAAGCAAGAGTGCATGCTTGAAGAAAAAGCATCAAAAAAATTTGACCTAGTTTCTTTATCAAATAATATAATAGAAGTAGAATTGTTGATATGGCCAGTAATGTGGAGAATGAGCTTTTGAAAAGAATATTTTGCGATCCAGCTTGACGGGTCTACCGATGTAGCAAACGCTGCAATATTGCATGTGTATGTTAGATACACTTTTGATAATTCCATTCAGGAAGATGTGCTTTTTGCAAAACCTTTAAAAGCTTATACAACTGGAGAAGCAATAACATTTTCTGGTTTTGTGCCTCGCGTAAAGAAGATCAACGAAACAAGCTACTGCGGAGTATAAATCAGCACTGAGTGGCATGTTGCTGTCAGTCCGGTGGGTTCTGTGTTTTTCAGGAAACTTGGCGAATTTAAATTGGGATTTTCGGTGCACGGTGTGTGTTGGGGCTCTTCCCAGTGTTCGGGAAGTGAAAAAAAAAGCTGATTAGTCGTCAGCAGGACAGAATATTTAGTTGATATTCAGATAACTTAGCGAGCTCTCGTGTGGACCGGTTTTTTTTGCGGACCGGCTCGACCCGTTTTAAGTCTCGTTCAGAGTGGAATTTCGCGTTACGGTCCTATTTTGATTGATCGAGCGGGCGGAAGAGTTTCCGGAACGTTCCATCGTAGACAATATGGGGACAAAGAAAGCGAGGTGTTTAAACCAACATCATCACTGGTGAGATCGCCGCAGGGTACAAGAGGCCCGGATGGAAGAAAGAAAGAGGAAACCAAAGGGAAGAAAGGTGAAAAGAAAAGGGACGAGAGAAGAAGCGAAGCGGAGAAAGAAGCGAGGGGTAAAGTCACGGGGATGAAAAAGGCGGTAACGGACGTAGTAAGGGAAATGGAAGGGGAAAAGAAGAAGAAAGGGTTAGGGAGAGATGAGAGTGCGGAAACGGTAGAGAAACAAACAGGGGATATGGAGACGAGATCCACAGGAGGGAATTCGCATACTGGAACGGAGGACTCTAGGAAGAGGGACAGGGAGGAGGAAGAAGGGGAAACAGAGATAGGGTATGTGAGGGCCAGATACAAGAGACCGATGAGCATGATTTCTTCTTGAATGGACACGGAGGGTACATGGAAGGGGGAATCGAAGAGGGAACAGTTGACCATGGGCACAACAGCAATGCGGGAAATCTGTTACATCCACGAACTCCGGGAAGAACTGGAGACTGAACTCTCAGGGCAGTACAGAGATATTCCTAACGAGATGCGCCTAAGAATTATGGATATCTTTAGGAGAGTAGAGGTCTCAGCAACGAGAGTTGTGGTGACGATGGCGGAAGATAATGGGAAAGAAATGGAAGGAAAGAATTTCGATGAGAAGATAAAAGAAATGGAGAAGAGGATCGAGAAAAAGATAGCAGGAGCGTTGGAGACCTGGAATGAAGCAGGGGATAGAGAGTACGAAGGATACGCTACAGCTGTTAAGAGGGGTGCGGGGAACGAAGTGGACCCAGTCGGTACTGGAGAAAGGCTGGGGGAGAGAAAGGACGCGAGCAAGAACATCATCATAGTTCAGGGTGGGGAGAATATCGTAGATAGCGCGGAATTGAAGAATGATGTGGTGAAGAAGCTAGAGAAAGAAGACACCTGGACAGACGTGAAGTTGAAAAGGGTAACCAAGAAAAACAAGAGGGTATTAATAGAGGGAGACTCGGGGAGGGATGTTGAATTGGTAAGGGAGAAGATCGGGGGCCAGGACTTAACGATACGGGAACCAGCAAGGGTGTGGCGTAAGGTGATACTCTATGATGTGGACAGCGAGATGAACGAGGGGGTATTATTGGAGCAGCTGTGGGGTAAAAACACTGAGCAAGGGGTTGGGATAGGTTGGCATAGCTTCAAGAACGAGGCCAGAATATTGATCAAGACGGGCAGAAGGGAAAAGGGGGTGGTAAATTATGTTATGGAAGTGTCAGGGAGAGTGAGAAGGGAGATTACAAGGTTTGGGAGGGTATATATTGGGTTGTTACAGTTGCTACAGATGCCAGGGTTTCGGACATCTCCAACGTTTCTGCAAATCGGAGATGGTATGTGGGTATTGTGCGGAAAAGGGCCACAGGGTTTAAGAACTGTGGGAATAGGGAGAGAGAGGCGGTATGTGCAAACTGCAAAGCCAGCGGGAAGGACGACAGACACGAAACGAGGGATAGAAACTGTGGGGAATACCAGATAGCGGCGGAGTTGGTGGAGAGAAGTATTAATTATGACGACATGACGAGAGGGCAGCAAGGGATTTTATCAAAAAACTAGACGGGGGAGGGGAGAAGCCAGAGAAAAGCGAGGGTTGAAAATGGTGTTCTGGGAATATCTGAAGAGATTTGAGGTGATTTGTATGGTGGAGACCTGGGTTGATGAAGGAGGGTGGGCAAAGATTGAAGTAAAGTTGCCAGAAGGGTATAGATGGGATTGCGTGTTTGCAGAGAGGAGAAGTAAGAGAGGAAGAGCGTGCGGGGGTATTATAACAGGAATAGCGAGAGGAATTACGGAAGGCGAGCGGAACTGGGGAGCAAGTTCATCAGGACAGACAGGTCGGAAGAAGGAGTAGCATTCTACAGGGGAAACTTCGACACTTGGCAACAGAGGATACAAGAGATCAATGGTTTGGTAGAACTTATCCAGGTAGTGCGGGAGGCAACACTGAAAAGGGAGTGTGTACGTAGGGGGGGCAGAGTAGGGAGGAACGACTGGTATGACGGCGAGTGCAAGAAGGCGAAGAGGGAGGCGAGAAGGAGGTTGAGGCAGTGGAGACGGGGGAAGATAGGGGTGGATAGATATAGGGAGGCCAGGAGAGGATACAGAGAGTTATACAGTAGAAAGAAAACAGAACTGAGGGAGAAGGAGGCGGCAGAGATTAGAGGGATAACAAGGGAAGGGGAGGTCTGGAGGTATCTGAAAAAGAGAAAGAAGATTAGGGAGAAGATAACCAGCGAAATACACATGACAGAATGGAAGAGTTACTTTATGGGATTATTGGGAGGGGTTGAAACGAGGCTAACGGGTTTGGGAGGCTATGAGGAAGATGGGGGAGAGGAGATAGTAGAAGAGGAGATGGAAGCAGTGCTTATGGGATTGAAGAAGGGAAAGGCGCCAGGTTAAGATGGTATCCAGAACAAGGCATGGTTGGTGTGGAAATAGTTCAATAAAACTCACCACGGTTCATAAAAAAGCTTACTTATTTACTCTTTAAAACACAACAAAGTAACTTTATATAGAAACAACAGAAAATAAAATTTATAATAAAGTAGGGGTGCGATGCGCTTCGAACAACGTTACACCTCGCTGGTTCGAGTGGTACTGGTTATCGGTTGTCGCTGCGCCGATATGTTCCACGCAACTAGGGATTCCCCTAGCTTCGTTTAATTCATTCTAAAATTTTCTAAATCCTCCCCCGGCGAAAAGGCTTGTACCTCCAAGGGGTACAAGAGTTGGACTGGTCGTCGTAATGTAGTTCCGCCACTTAACTTTACTTCACATGCCCTTATTTTATTATCTCTACCTTGGTACAAATTCACAACCCTGCCCATCTTCCACTGCAACCTAGAACTGTTTTCTTGCACCAAAACAACATCCCCAATATTCAATGATTTGGCATTTATCGATTTTCTTAGATGCGCTGTCCGCAATTGTTGTAAATAATCGGAACGCCACCTGTCCCAAAATCTTTTCAACGTTTTCTCTCTATCTCTCCACCTTTTCAATATTTCAGATCTACTTATCTCCTTCGAGGTTAAATTCATACAAAATCCTACTTCAGTCCTTCCAGTCAAAAAATGAGAAGGAGATAATATAGTCAAATCTGTTGAGTCATCACTGATATACGTAAGTGGACGAGAATTTATTGTCGCCTCGATTTCTATTAAAATAGTTTCTAATTCGTCTCGTTCGACGTATGCTCTACCTAAAGTTATTTTTAATGCGTCTTTAACGGTTTTTACCATTCTCTCCCAAAAGCCACCCCACCATGGAGCTCTTTCCGCTATAAACCTCCAATGAATTCGGTGCTTTCTAACTAAATCCTGAATCTTTTCTGATTCCAAGATAGCGGATAATTTTCTTAATTCAAGGTCTGTTCTCTTAAACGTTTTGGCATTATCAGAGTATACAACATCAGGAACGCCCCTTCTGGCAATGAACCTTCTCAACCCTCTTATACAACATTCAGTTGTCAAATCTGGAACCAATTCCAGATGGACTGCTCTTATAACCGCACACGTAAATAACATTATGTATGTTTTCGTTCGTTGACCTGCGACGTTGGCGTATAGTGGACCAGCAAAATCAATGCCTGTTATATTAAATGGATTTGTCATAGTTACGCGAGTCTTTGGTAGTGGAGCACATTCTTCGTTTCCAGGTTTTCCTTTCAATCGTTTACATTTCAAACATTGGTTAAGGATTGCTTTAACTTTCTGACGTCCTTGCGGAACCCAAAATCTCTTTCTTAGTTCAGCTAAAGTCGCATTCACTCCATAATGATTTACCCCCTCATGACATTTCCTTATAATTTTTTCCGTCAACATTGATCGTTTTGGTAGTATGATTGGATGTTTCTCATCATAGCTCAAAGGCGCTTCATCTAACCTTCCTAATAAACGCATGACACCATTCTCATCTAGAAATGGTTTCAACATCAGAATCGAAGATGATGATTGTATCGGCATTCCCCTTTTTAAAGCTTTCAACTCATTCGGAAAATCCTTTTCTTGTATATATTTTATCCAATAAGTGTCTGCTTCATTTAGATCTTGTGTCGATAATCGCTTTGATTTGTACATCTTCTTTGTTAATTTAATAAATCTTATAACATAAGCCGTGATTCGCATAATTTTCTCATATATTCCATACTTTTCCAATGGAAATATGGGCTGTGTTTCCGGTGTGGATTCGTTTCGTTGTATAGTTAAAAAACTGCTAACTTGATCCACATCTGGTTCAAAATATTCATCGCTCGGCCAATTCTCTTCATCATTCAGCCATTTAGGGCCTCGCAACCATAAGTTAGAATCAATTAATGTTTTGGCTGAAATTCCTCTCGTTAATAGGTCTGCAGGATTTTCTTTTCCAGGGCAATATCTCCATACGCTATCGCTCAATTTGTGTATTTCGTTTACACGATTTTGTACGTAAGGTTTCCATTTCTTGGATTTTCCTCTAATCCAATATAAGGATATCTTTGAATCTGACCACAGAGTCGTCTTCTGGATATTGATCAACATATTTTTTGCAATGTAATTTTGAAGTCTCGCTGCACATAAAGCTGCTGTCAGTTCTAACTTAGGTAATGTAAGTTCCCTTTGACCTGATTTGTCTATTGGAGCAACTCTGTTTTTTGACGTCACATAGTTGCATTCGTGGTTTGATAGGCATCTTATGTAAGTTACTGCTCCATATGCATATGGACTTGCGTCTGCAAAAATGTGAAGATCTACGTTGTCCGTTTTGTTTTGAATAATACACCTGGGCACTCTTAGCTCAGACAAGTCAGTTAGTTCTTTACACCATTTTGACCATTCTCCGCTTTGTTCTGAGTCCAATACATCATCCCAATTCAGTTTTTTCTTCCACAAGGTTTGCAGTAGAATTTTCGATTTTACTGTGCATGGTTCAAGTAATCCTAATGGGTCGTAAATCTTCTGCTACTGTTTTCAGAACTTTACGCTTTGTCGGTACTGTGTCTTTCTGTCTGTCTTCCTCTGACTGTACACTTACTCCTAATACATCATGTAATGTATGCTACAATATGCCCAATACCTTTCGCTCACCTTGTCTGGTTACCTTTTCATTTGTTTGAAACACTGCCATCATTTTTGCATCATTAGAGCACCACTTTCTTAAATTCATGTTTGCAGCGTGCAGAATTTGCATCGACTCGCTATATAAGTTCTGAGCTTGGTCCAGGGTACTTGCTGCCGTCACTAAATCATCGACGTAAAATGACTTGGACAAAATTGACGCTGTATTTTGTAATTTATCTGGCTGGTCTTCGAAATGTTTACGCAATGTTGCTGCCAAAAGGAATGGACTGCTAATGATCCCGAACGTTACTCGCTTCATGCGGTATGTCGTTATGTTTGATAGTTCCATCGCTGACGTCAAGTTTTCAGGTACTGGATCTTTATACCACAGGAATCGAAGCACGTCGCGATCGTTGTCGTTTATCGATGGCGTTTGTAGAAACGCCTTTTTGATGTCAGAAGTTACACCTATTGCACCTATACGGAAATTCAATAACATTTGTAATAAATCAGGAATTAAATTGTCTCCGCAGTGCAATTGTTCATTAAGCGATTCGAAACCCGGCGCATGCGCGGATGCGTCAAACACTACACGAACTTTACTTGTGTCTTTATCGTAGCGGTAGACAGCCCTGTGTGGCGTATAGTACTTCCGATTCGCGTCTGTCTCGTTAGTTACCTCTTCTGCACAATTGTCTTTTAGGTATTCGCGCATTGCTACGTCATACTCATTTAACTTTTCGCTTTTATGTAGTTTAGACGTTAGTGCTTTTAGTCTCGCTAGAGCTCGAGTGAAATTTGAGTCTAAAAATTGATCAATTTTCCACAGTAACGACACTTCATACCGCCCGTCTCGCCAGTTTATGTATTTGTTTTTAAAACCCGTTGTAAAATCACCTTGCACGTTCGCGGTCGCGTTTATACCGAGAGTTTCCATTGACCAAAACCGTTTCAAGTCCATAGAATCGCTTGTTACTTGTTGTAATGTATAGAGAACTTGAATGCGCATGACTGCAAACAGGTTTGGGTGATTAGGAGTATCAGGAGAAGGAGTCGGTTATAAAAGCGTCAAGAAATAAGATGGTAAAAAGACATGTAAATTAAGTGAGAATAAAGTTTAGTTTATTATGAAGCGAAGTGTTTATTATAAACCATTACACTTGTGCATGTAGAACCGTCGCTGTGTTAAAGTTGACCATGAAGTCGTATTGATTAGCTACACTGTGTGGTATCGTTGAAGGGTTTTAGGTTTTTTAAATAAAAGAGTTTCTTCCCAACTACATGTGAATGTATTTTACCCAAAGGTTCGTACAATTCTGATGCTTACAAAAGCGTAGTCAATTTTAAAGTATTACAGTAATAATGCTTACCACGGTAATACGGTTCAACGGACGATGACCTGATACTTATTAATTAAGTTGTTGAGCCTACATTTTATAGTTAAACGTTTTGTAATTTACTTAAACAATAATGAATTTGGATACATTACAACTGCTTGGTCCGTGTATTGTCCACCCTAATGTGGAATTTACTGCTGTCAATCCATTGGCCAGTTGTTTTACTTCGCCCATGACAAGCTGCCAATAATAGTCTGCGCCAGTCAAAAGCACAATTCCGTTACAGTGTCCTTCTTCAGAACTATCAGCCAGCTGATACTTTGCTGCAAATTGTCTGATCACTGGTTCGTTTAATGTAGGTGGATTCAGTGTATTAAAACAAATTTCAGGAACTTCTATTGCATTAATCTGAGTTATGTTTCCTGTATTCAGGCATTTGAGGTTTGCTTGCACTCGATTGCATAACTTCGCTGGTGTTCGATCTCTTTCGTCAAATGGTTGAATAGATATCTTATGCTTGCCAATAACTTTTAGTCCTAATTGACGAGAGATACATTCTCTTATGAATGTGAGTTGGCTACTGCCGTGAAGCTCACTGGCTTCGAGTCAGTGTGCGACGAAAAGGGTCTCTGTGCGACAGGGAAAAGCATATAAAAGGACCGCTTGGAAATTTCTTGACGTGACGTCAGCGGGCGAACATATACTGGGTGAGCACAGTTAATTTTATTATACCGTGTGGCGAAGTGAAAAAACGGCCGTAACTCGCAAACGGAAGCCCGGAGAGAAATTCTGAGGGTCCTAAAATCCTAAAATTTCATCAATTTTGGAGGTGCCCAACGGGGTCAAATTCATCCCCAAAGTCCGCGCCGCGCTGTTTACCTATAGTCTAATAACAAATTTTTTTTCTCGGAAACCGTTATACCTTACGGTGTTTGGATGGTCGATTTAAATCGGTAAAGGCATCCTCTAAATCATCCTAAAATGTCATCAATTTTGGAGGTGCCCAACGGGGTCAAATTCACCCCCAAAGTCCGCGCCGCGCTGTATATCTATAATCTAATAACAAATTTCATTTCTCGGAAACCGTTATACCTTACGGATGTAAAATTAAATAAAATTTCCTAAAATTTCATCAATTTTGGAGGTGCCCAACGGGGTCAAATTCACCCCTAAACTCCCATCCGCGGTTTATAAGAATGATTTTTTTTCTCGAAAACCGTTAGGGCTTACGGTGTTTTGAAAATTGATAAAAATACTTAGAACTGTGTTCTATTATGTGGTAGAATTTGGTTTAATTCGAAGGTGCCCATCAGGGCGAAAACATCCCTTTTTCGGGGGTGGGGGTTGAAACAATTTTTTTTACCAAATGGGGGTGGTAAGCTGTTCTTGAGGGTAAGAGTGACCTCTGTGTGAAATTTGGTTACCCAAATCGTATTAGTTACGGAATTATTAATGTTTTAAGTTTATTGCTGGGATTTATGGATAACTTCACACCAGTTTTCCCCGGTCGTTTTGGCTCCGGTCGTGCACTCTCGGAAATACCGGAAGTGATCTTTTCTGATCGGGTAGCCCTGAAAAGGGCTTGTGCGGGTTGCCATGAGCAAAAAGGACTCTGGCGAGAGGGTCTTCAAACCATCCCAAGTGTTGGCGAGGTCTCCTGTCGGGTCCCGCGCGCCGGATGGGACCAGAAAAGTAACGGGCGAGTCCAGTGAGGTAGTTGGCGGGGAAGCGGAAAAGAGTGTTGTTGAGAATGTCAAGGAAATGGAAAAGAAGGAACAGCAACAGCAAAGGAAGAAGGAAGGCGAGATGAAGAAGAAGAAGGAAGGTGAAAGCAAGAAGGAAGAGGATGGGAAGAAGAGGGCCAAAGAGGCGAGGCAGTCCGTTAGTAGGGTGCTGGAGGTGGAGGCCACACCGCGGGGCGGCGACCCGGTGGATTGGGCGATGGACTCGGCATCGGTCATCAGTTCGAGGGCGTCGGAGGCGGGCGAGTCTACTATCATGGAGGAGTACGGGAAACGGCAACGTGGTAGTGACAGCGACGACGACAGGGAGTCGACCACAAAGAAAGGTAGGAGTGGCGTGTCTGTGTTTGTTGGGGCGGCCAAGGGCAATCGCGCGGATGCGGTTGATCTGGAACGTGAAAAAATCGAGGTCGTTAAACGTGAGAGGTCGGCTCTACAACAGTACCTGCTGCTGTCCGCGTCGAAGGTCAGTAAGGATGCGTCCGCGGTAATCCTACGATCGTGGAACGTTCTCGAGGACTCTTTGCGGGACACAATAGTCGATGTTATTAGGCTACGCGAGGAGGTGAAATATTTGCGGCTGTTGAAGAAGGCTCCGGCGGATAGTGCGACGGGGGATGCGGGTTCTCGCTCCACTTCCTATGCGGCTGTTGCTGCTAGTGCGACGGTGGCGGCTGGTGGCGTGGTTCGTGCTTCGAGAGGTGGTGCGCGCGGGAAGTTACCGATACCTGAAACAGAAAAAAAGAACAAAATATTAGTAAAACCTGTGGAAGGCTCTAAAATCGCGAGTAGTGAGGTTATCAAAGAAGCCGTGTGCAAAGTCCTTCGGAATGAATTACGCGCGGTTAAAGTGAAGGGTATTCGGACTACGAAAAATGCCGGCGTGTTGATCGAGGCGGCCGACCTAGCCGAGGCGACAAAAATTCGGGACTGTAAAACGATCGCAGAACTCGGTTTCCGGACTGAAAGACCAAAAAGGCTACGGCCAACTGTGCAAATATTTGACGTCGCGTGTGACCTCACAGATGCCGAAATAGTTGCAAACGTGTACGACGGCAATTTGGTGGATACAGGATGTGATAGGAAGAGTTTTGCAGAAAGTGCGAGAGTGATTACGCGGCTGTCTAAACGCGAGGGGTGCAGTAATGTTATAATGGAGGTGGACCCAACGACATGGAGGACGATGATTGGTCTGCAGCGCTTGTACATCGACAGTAAAGCCTGTCGTGTCATGGATTACGTTTTAGTTACGAGGTGCTTCAAGTGCCTCGACTTTGGGCACATTGCGCGCGTTTGTGACAGAGAGGAGAGGTGTCGGCACTGCGCGGAAAGCGGTCACGCGGAAAAAGAGTGCAAAAACAAGGGTAAACCTCCGAAATGCGGGTTGTGCGCGAACAGGGGCAGACCGGCGGAGCACCCAACCACATCCAGGGACTGTCCGGACTTTACGAGACAGATGGCATTGCGGCGGGATAAAACGGACTATGTTCAGGATTAGGGTCCTGCAGCAAAACTGTCAGCGGTCAAGGGCGGTGATGGGTGAAGTGGAGAGAGTGGCGTACGAGCGGGACTTGGACGTCCTGCTACTTCAGGAACCGTACCACGCGGCGAATTTCAACCGCGAATTCCGCGGTTTCGGGCGGGTTGTGAAACTGGAGGGTGTCGCGTGGGTTGTGGTGCGAAATGACGATTTCGTCGTGAGCGTCGTGTCGTCGTTAACGGACGCGAATTGTGCCGTCGTTCTGTGCGAATCTCGATGTGTGCGTGTTGTGTTCGTTTCGCTCTAATGCCAGTACTCTGACAGTATTGACGTCTATCTGGCAAAACTGGACGCGATAAGGACGAGTTTTTCGGGATATAAATTAGTTATCGGTATGGACGCGAACGCGAGATCGCCGATGTGGTTCCACCGTGTGTTGGATGACAGCGGGGTGAAAATGTCGGATTTTATTGTGGCGAGCGATCTTCTGTTATTGAACAGGCCCTCGGGCCTCGCGACCTTCTCTACGGTAAACGGGGAATCTAACATTGACCTTACCCTGGTAAATGCGGGTGCCGCGCGGTTGGTGGGTGACTGGGAAGTCGCTTCGTTGACGTCCTCGGACCATCGCGGTGTCCTCTTCGGTTTGGTGGGGGCTTCTCCGGGGAATCTGAAACTGAAAAAAGAAATTGTTATTAAAACAATAAAGAGGGTTAAGTGGGACAGGGTGGAGGCGGAAGTGCGGAGTAGGTTCGGTAGGCGGGATATCAAGCGAATGTTCGAGGGAGACTCTTCGGATGTGGTAGTTGAGCGAGTCACGGGAACCATCGCAGCCATCGTGGATGACACCATCGGGAGGAAGGTGAAGAGGTCGGGTTCCGAGGGGTGGTGGACCGTGCAGCTGAGCAGGGAGAGGCGCTACATCGGAAGAATTCGGAAGGAGGTGCAGAGGGCGGCTGGTGATCCGTCGCAACACCATCGTCTGGCTGACCTCAGGGCGAACTACAGGGAGGCACTTGGTAAATACAAACAGAATATCTTGGTCGCGAAAAGGGCCGGTTGGGCCAAGTTTGTAGAAAAGAACCGCGACGATCCGTGAGGCATAGTGTACAAGGTCGTGATGGACAAAGTGCCCGTGCGTAACCTGCTATCGTCGGTAACTTTTAACGGGTCAGAGGTGAAGTGCGGAAAGTCCCCGGGGTATGATGGAATTTATCCTGACTACGTAAGGCAGCTCTGGGCAGTTAAACCGGGCGTGCTGAAGGATCTGTACAACATGTGTTTCGAGTACAAACGTTTTCCAACGCAATGGAAGCGTGCGGTGGCGGTTATGCTCCTTAAAGACAGATCGAAACCGGCTACGGAGCCGAAGTCGTACCGTATCATATCGCTGTTACCGGTTTTGGGGAAGCTGCTAGAAAAAATACTATGGTCCAAAATCGAGTGTCACTATGAGGCGAACGTCGGCCATAGCCCGCGTCAATTTGGCTTCAAAAAGGGGATGGGGACGGTTGACGCGCTGTGCGCGGTGAGGCGTGTCGTTACCTGTTCGACAAACAAATATGTCCTCGGTGTTTGTATGGACATTGCGGCGGCGTTTGACAACTTGCCCTGGCCGGCGGTGTTGAAACGCTTGCGGCGAGCGCGGGTGCCGG